GGGGAGCGGCGAAACCCGCCAGGGACTCGTGGCCCACTTGCCTGAGGAAATACGGCTTGGCGTAGAACTTGAAGTCGACGCCCTGGAAGTAGACGTCGAACTCGGAGACCCGAGCGTGGGGCACGCGGATGGCGACGGTCAGGAAGTCAGGGTCCTGGCTGAGGTCGAACGCCGGCGTGAGCATCGCCGCCACCCCACTCAGACCCTCCAGAAATCTTCCCTCGCCGGCACCGTTCTGTTACCCCAGCGCTTCCGGATCACGGCGGAAGTGCTCCTACGTGGGAGAGGAAGTCCCGCCCCACCGCTATCTCCAAGGAGATGAGACGCTATTGGTGAAGAGAAGAGAGCTGGGAGCAGGACTTTGTCCATGCGCTCCTGCATAACTTGGAAAAACCAGGGCATGTGTCTGCCTCAGAGGCACCCAACCCTTTGGGGTGCTAATGTTATGCCCAGATTTCAAGACCCCCCAAAGATCCACCAGGGAGCACCAAATCCGATGCAAAAGCATAGAGTCTTTTATTCAAGCCTGGGACTTGATCACCCCCCCCCCTGCCTCCATTACTGGATGCAAGAGAGAGCCCCGAATCCCAAGGGAACAAAGAATTTATAGGGCTTGGGGTCGGGGGTGGGGGCAGACTCTGACCACTGATTTGGCCGATTCCAGTTGGTTGAGTGAGGGCCGGGGGCTAGTGACGCAAGGGCAGGGTGCAGCTAGGGTCTGGTTACACAAAGACAGGGGGGGGGTTAGCATACTCTTGGCCTTGGGCTAGTTTCCCCCGCTTTACCATTGGCTGAGATAAGGGCAGGCTGAGAAACTGATACATTCTGCGGCTTTTTCTTGGAAGAGGGGTTAAGGACACAGCTATCAGTCCTGTTCTGTCCTTTCAAAAGTATTTGAAATTTATTTTTTACACTATAATTCCTGGGTCTTGCCCCAGAACTTCCAAATCAAAATCCCCAGTGGTAAGACGTAGTAGTCTGTGTTTTGGTTAAAGCCTTCTGGTGAGTTTAAGGTGTAGCAACCTTGAGGAACCACTAGGTGCATATCTTAATTTTTAATTTTCTAACAATAAGAAAAAGTTA